ATGTTATTCCAACAGATTGATAAAACATATGATCAATATGACTTCTATTGACAACAATGCATTTCAGAGTTATATTGATTAAATTTCTATTTCGTGCCAATATTGCACCGAATGCACATGGTTCTCCTATCTCACTTTTTAAATGTCTTAGATCTGTGGTATAAACAATATTTTTAATATAATATAAAAGAATCTTTTATTGAGGCATCCTGGAGAACATGTGCGAGGAAACCATTGGTTCATATTACAAATGTCCTTTACTTCCTCATTCAGTATTTCATGGTAAAAGATCGTTACAAGACTATAGTATTAACTAATTAGACCTTTCAAATCACGAAACCATAATTTGATTTTTGTACTATGACCCCCACAAATTTTCAAAGCTTGTTACAAGCATATCTCCATATTTCATGGAGACTTGAGAATATAGAGATCGGAGAAATACATCATCTGTGCAACACAGAATATTGGAAATGCAGACATTTTGAAAATTTTTTAAATTGGGGAATATAAGAACTTAGAAAATCTAGAAGTTTGAGGACACAGACACTTTTAAATTCAAAGATGTAGGAATACACTAATTCTAGAGTATGGAAATTTAGAAATATAGAAATTTGAGAAAATGAAACTCTAAAACTACCAAAGTTTATTATAAATAAATGAAAACATAGAAATTTAAGACAACACTAATTGGAAAATACAGAAACCTCAAAATATAAAGAATTCGACACATAAAGACTCAAAACCATGGAACTCAAAGGAATAAAAAAATCTGCAAAAATTTCAGAATACAGAAACTTAAAAATATAAACAATGTTTTACGGTAAACTCCTATTAAACGTAAAGAATAAAATTACATAAAGTTACACATAAAATTACACATCCCAGAAAATGCATATCATTTCACAAAAAAGTTCCGCAAAAGAATTCCCTAGTATTCAACAGACCTTTCCCAAGCATGAGACACAGAAACTGTGTCATATGTACGTACTCTACCGATTGTATCGTAAAATTTTCCTTCTACAGATCGTAAACGAGTTAATTTCAGTCCGGGTAACGCAACATCCGCCCTCCGTTTGCCCGCATGCCCGAGATTCCAGGTCGAGTCCGAGCGTTCATGAATCGAGTCGATTGTTCGATTAAACAATACAAAGTTCCAAAGTATCCACCGAGGATGCTTACCCTTTACGGGCTCCGCTCGTCAACGAGCTCTTTCTCTCGTACACGCCCCCACCCTGTGTCCCTAAGCTAACCCTCTCACCAGGGACCCCTTCCTCCTGCTCTTTCCAGAGTCTATCAGCTATCCCACACCACCCTCCACGATCAATGCTTGTGAAAAGGCTCGATGCGCGCGCCCTCGCCACGAACCGCCGTTAATGCCAGCTCGACTTTCCCTCCACTCTTCAGCCTGTTGAAATTTCCACGGGCTATCCCGAAGGAGCCACTTCTGACGTTCTTCAGCCAGCTGCACAGAGCCAGGCCAACTAGTTCCGCTGACAATGAGCACCCGGTTCTCGACATTGTCTTCCTGTGAGCATTTTTACCCTGCTGCAAGGGGTAAACACTCGAACGCGAGTGTGCGCAAACGACCACGGGGTGGGAAATGTGGCGCCTCGTCCTCGGAATCCAAAGATGGTGGGACTGTACCCAGCGAAAATCGTACACGAGGACGTAATTATGCGCTTTCATCTGATCTCCACCAGATCTCGATTAGTTTCACCAAAGACCATCGAACAGAACGCTATAAATTTTGCAAAATTTATATAAATGGAAGTTTATGGGGCTGAAATATTTGTATAAGAAATATGTTATAATCAAGGTAAATTGAATAATAATAGCGTTATTGGGTACCGATGCTGAAGAACAGTCTGTAGTCTTTAGTTTACAAAGTAGACTAGCTTAGAGATTATTTAGGATGACCCAATTCTGCAACCTGGAGGGTGCAACATATGCGACAGTCGTGCAACGAATGACACTGATACCTGAAGATCAGCAACCGAATTAGAGTCGGAACACTTAGTCTTGTAATTTGAAGAGTTGTACGTGTATTCGTTGGAGTTTGAAGTCCCAATTATACCTAATCGAAGATGCAGTTGGGTTTAGTTAGAATGAAAAGGAATTAGCATCGAACAGTCTTCTGTACGAACTACCCTCCGCACACACGGTGAATGGGCACTTGCCATTCATCATTCTTGGAGGTCAGCCAGCTTCAACTTCGCACGCCGACCAAGGTTTCGGAGCCCGTGAAAAGGCGGGACGAGCGTACTCCCGCGGCAACGCGCCGTGTATTCGATTTCGTTACCGAACGCGCTCATATCGATCCGCCCTCTGCTTTCCTGTTTCAAACACTTGCCCCTTATTTAAAAATCACCATCAACTTTTTCACCAGACATTTCCAAGTCAATTGTATTCAATCAAAACGATGATCAGGTTATATTTGAAGATGAGCCTACTAGTGACATTAGCAAACACTGACCCCATCTTTGCTTCTTTAGGACATGTCAACTGGATATACGCTATATTCTGGATAAGCATACGAAATTTCCACGGGCTATCCCGAAGGAGCCACTTCTGACGTTCTTCAGCCAGCTGCACAGAGCCAGGCCAACTAGTTCCGCTGACAATGAGCACCCGGTTCTCGACATTGTCTTCCTGTGAGCATTTTTACCCTGCTGCAAGGGGTAAACACTCGAACGCGAGTGTGCGCAAACGACCACGGGGTGGGAAATGTGGCGCCTCGTCCTCGGAATCCAAAGATGGTGGGACTGTACCCAGCGAAAATCGTACACGAGGACGTAATTATGCGCTTTCATCTGATCTCCACCAGATCTCGATTAGTTTCACCAAAGACCATCGAACAGAACGCTATAAATTTTGCAAAATTTATATAAATGGAAGTTTATGGGGCTGAAATATTTGTATAAGAAATATGTTATAATCAAGGTAAATTGAATAATAATAGCGTTATTGGGTACCGATGCTGAAGAACAGTCTGTAGTCTTTAGTTTACAAAGTAGACTAGCTTAGAGATTATTTAGGATGACCCAATTCTGCAACCTGGAGGGTGCAACATATGCGACAGTCGTGCAACGAATGACACTGATACCTGAAGATCAGCAACCGAATTAGAGTCGGAACACTTAGTCTTGTAATTTGAAGAGTTGTACGTGTATTCGTTGGAGTTTGAAGTCCCAATTATACCTAATCGAAGATGCAGTTGGGTTTAGTTAGAATGAAAAGGAATTAGCATCGAACAGTCTTCTGTACGAACTACCCTCCGCACACACGGTGAATGGGCACTTGCCATTCATCATTCTTGGAGGTCAGCCAGCTTCAACTTCGCACGCCGACCAAGGTTTCGGAGCCCGTGAAAAGGCGGGACGAGCGTACTCCCGCGGCAACGCGCCGTGTATTCGATTTCGTTACCGAACGCGCTCATATCGATCCGCCCTCTGCTTTCCTGTTTCAAACACTTGCCCCTTATTTAAAAATCACCATCAACTTTTTCACCAGACATTTCCAAGTCAATTGTATTCAATCAAAACGATGATCAGGTTATATTTGAAGATGAGCCTACTAGTGACATTAGCAAACACTGACCCCATCTTTGCTTCTTTAGGACATGTCAACTGGATATACGCTATATTCTGGATAAGCATACGTATTTATGTTTTTAGTAGATATCTATAATTTTAACATATATGTCCCTCATATGTGTCTACGTACAATAGGTTCATGTGTCCATGTTCTATGTAGGTATACATATACGTTCCTTAGAAGTATTTATGTTCCCCATAGGAATACATGTCTACGTTTCTTATACGCGTACCTATGTTCCTCATAGGTATAGACGCCTACGTTTCTTTTAACTATACGTATCTATGTGCCCCATAGGTATAAACGTCTACGTTTCATATAGGTATACGTGTCTATGTTCCCCATAGGTATATCTATGTTCCTTAAAGATATATCCTTATCTTTATAGTTATACTTATGTTACCTTTAAGTACAATCTGTATTCCCCGTAGTAATACATGTCTGTGTTCCTTATAGATATACGTGTCTCTTTTTTATAGGTATTACGTATTTATGTTACTTGTTAGCGTATCTATCTATGTTCCTCATAGATAAAAACGTCTGTGTTCGTTATAAGTATACCTATCTCTACGTTCCTTATAGGTAGACATATCTATGCGTTCCCTATAGATATATGTTGATATGTTCCTCACGGGTATATGTATCAGTGTTATAGATCTGTATTCCCTATACGTGTCTGCATATTTCTCATAGATATGTTTGTATCTATGATTGTATGTGTGTATCTGTAGGTGTCTATCCATGGATATGTAATTGTACTTTCACCTATGCAGGTGTCAATGTAGGTCTCTACCTACGAAAGCATCTATATAAATCTCAACCTATGGAGGTATAGGTGTCTACTTATGGAGGTATCTATTAGATGTCTAGCATGAGAGGCATCTTCTAAATATCTACACACGGAAGTATTTATTAAATGTCTAGGTACGAAGATATCTGGAGGTGTCTACCTATGACCGTACCTATAATTGTATATCTATGAGGATATCTATAGATGTCTCCCTATGTATTAATGTATCCTATATATCTGTAGGTGTCTACCTATGGAGGAGGTAATCTATAGATGTCTTCTTATGGAGAAGGTGTCTCTAGGTGTCTATCCATGGAGAAAATATCTATAGGTATGTAACAGCGGACAAGGTATTTATAGGTATCTAGCAATAGACCTGTAGATGTCTACCTATGGAAATACCTAAAGGTACCTACTTATGGGGGTACCTACAGCTGCCTACCTATGAAAAAAATGTCTGTAGATGTCTAGCAATGAAGGAACCTATAGATTTCAACCTATGGAGGATATATCTATAGATATCTACCTATGGAGGATGTATCTATAGATGTCTACCTATGGAGGATGTATCGATAGCAATGTATGTACGAATACGTTGCGTATGTACGCGTACCTTCGCAGATGTTCCCCAGCTGTATGAGTCCCCAGAGCATGTCAGTGCAGCTATGGCAGTACGTCGGCTTGTGGAACATCTTCTTGCTGAAGGTGTGCCCATGGTTGCTGAGTACCTCGTCCGAGACCGACGCCGCCATGTTCCCCGTTCTTGAAGCTTGACAGGGCGCGCCGCACGGCGATGATATTACACGGCAGCCACTACGTGATCTCGAAACCGTACGCGTACATAATTGCGTAGCTGCAGGTGCAGCCGCGGCTGGCTGCTCGGGTCCCTCGCGTCGTCCTGTCGCCGCGTAACGTGGCTAACACGCATTATTCCCGAAGCTGCGCCCCCAGGACCGACCGAACGACCGGCACAGCACCGTACGCGACACAGAGATTGCGTTTGATCGTGCACCAGTCAGCAATCACCACTGTTTCGCGGCTGACCATCACCGTCATCGGCCGTTGCTACCGCCGCCTCTGCCTCGGCCGGGAGCTTCACTCGCGGTTAGAGGACGATGCGGGTGTCGCGTTCGCGCATCCCAGCCACGGAACGGGCGTCGAGTGGCCGCACTGACATCAGCCCCTTCGTCACCACCGACGTGCAGTGCCGGAGGCATCCACGGGCCAGCTGGGGCTTCCACGAGGGAGCCCCGTTTTCACGGGGACTCCTCTTTGACCCTTCCTCTTTGATCCTCTTCGAACCTCAAAATCCTTCACGAACCTCTTCAGGTTCTCGAGGAACCCCGTACCGCCCAACTATTCTAGTTACCTCTTGCCTAACTATTCCAGCAATCAATCAACTATTCGATCAAGTCTTTCGAGGTAACATGATGACAGAGTTCATGTTCGACGATGCTGGAGCAAACACTGTTGTGGCACGTCGTACGTTGGATCACATTTTGAGCCGTCCCTGCGAGAAGTCTGGGGCACTGGGCTATCGCGATCCGGCGTTATCGGCTCCGTCAGAGACGTCGGGACGGCGCGCGTCGCCTCGCGACCTCCCGTGGTCTCGAAGAGCTGTGTTCGGCCGCAGCGACGGCGCCGCTCCACCCCACTGTACCTTATCGACCGACACAACTCGCGGAGAGTACACGTTTCCGTTTTCGTACGTGCGTACGATAGACCGCTGATCGAGATAGCGAGCCGTAGCACGCGACTTAGAATCACCTTTGCGACGCGGCCTCTGTAGCCGCGGTTACGATCGCGCGTGTACGAACAGGATTACTTGCAACGCGATACACGGTTTCGGGAAAACTCTTGACTCGCCTCGACGACGTCAAAGTGACGAACAGACGTCGACGATGCCTCGGCGAGCGCGCCGACGCGAGTACGCTGCGGTCCTCGCGCGCAACGCGCTTACGTTTCATGCGTGCACGGACTATTCCGCGTCGAATTACTCGGAGAGCAACCTTGTATCTTCGAATGTCGCTCGCTCGTTTTTTTACCTCTTCGCATATTTTGGTTTTCGAAGTTTCCGATAGGGGTATATGGAGAATGGACTTTTGAATTATTGCATTATTTTATGGAATTCATTAACCTTTTGTTGTATTTTGTTGTAAATATCTATGGTACGTATAATATCAGGGCCGTGTTTTACCTGTGAAGGATTGCCAGTGGGCGATACTTTTCCCACGACCTACTACCATAGATCATATTCGATAAATGACCTAACTAGGTCAGTGGCAAATTTGAGTAATAGGGTATTAAAACTGAGGTATCATTAGGCAAATTTGGGAATTTGACAAACTTTTGGGAACTTAGAAATTTATAAATAGATGTGGGAGTTTGGGAATGTAGTAATCTGTAAATTTCTTTATTTGGATATAAAAAAATTGGTCGTGAAATACCGCATTGACCACAAAATGTGTCGCTTCATTCTGCAAAAACGTTATATAAGAAATAAATTTCCTCTATGTTAATAAATTCATTTTTCATAAATGAAAATCTGAAAAATTATGTAATTCAATTACTCAAATATTATAATATAAAACTTATTAAAAATTCAATTATTCACATATTATACAATTACTTAAAATTTTTCTATTTTTAAAATCTAAAATGTTTTAAGATTAAAAAGATTTATAAATAAACTAATAAATGGTACAAAGTTAAACAATTACTATTAAAGAAATATAATTAAATAATCAGTTATTTACCTTCCTCGTCAATTGTTCAAATAAATATTAATAGAACTTGTAAATAAATAATAATTCTTCTTCAAAGATTTAATATTGACTGATTTAATGACTATTTTATAAAGACGAAAAATTTGTTTATTTCACAATTTAGTTTTGAAATGTTGAGATCAGGTTTGACAAGTTTAATCCGATTATTTAATCTTTGGCGAAGATCTGTCAAAATGCCAGAATGTTATTGCAACGTAATATCAATGTTAAAGTATCAATGAATTGAATGAAATATGATTGGTGTTGAAAACGTAAGGGAAATAACAGAAAAACAAATCGAATTGGGATTGATTAAATATATTTATTCATAAACACAAATATACAATTCGTAACACACTAACGATAGGAATAATATGTACAATAATATACAATAATATCGAACACTATAAACAATTTCGAATAATATGCGTTAAATAATACGAATTAATTTGGAAAACGAATAATAATTGACAAAATAAGGAACGTGAAATCACAATAAACTAATTAACAAAGGAATCAATCTTGGAAAATGATTTTAACGATAGTTTCAAAGAGGCGAGGCAAGGGCGTAAGTACGATCGAATTGCGAGGCGTCTATCGAGCGAACGAACGAACGAACGAATGATAAGAGCGACTCGATCCGTAGCGGCACGGACCCCGCTGAGTCACGTGGTCCTACCCCCACTACGGACGATATCGATCCGAGAACGATTCAAAATCCTGGTGGCTTTGCTCTTAGGTTAGCCTGTACGTCTCGGAAAATTACCGAAGTAATTTCCGTCCGTCGACCCTCACAACAGGAGATGCAAAGCATCATCCCTCACGGGGCTTCATGGAGGCCTCAGAGGGACGTAGAACGCCCCCCCTAGCCACGGCTTGTCGACCACAGGGACACATAAAGCGCCCCCGCGCCGCAAAGAGATCACCTACCAGTCCATAACATAACAATAAATTATAAGCAATCAATAATTAACAATTTTGATGCCTCACATTTCCACTCGTTACCC